GGGGGGGGGGGGGGGGGGGGGGGGGGGGGGGGGGCAAGGCAAATCCTAAGGATCATAAGATCCTGAAAAAATTGAAACCATCACAATTAATTGCATTGTTCTTCTGAATGTTGTTCTTTCCTGGGCCCGAATCAAATATTGATTCCTCTTCCACCACAAGATGTAATGAGTTCAGATTTGCAAAGGCTCCACAAGAGAAAAGAACTGTTCAAATGAAGGCGTAAGATGTGGAACCAGAGAAGGGAACTGTTGAGATTTGCAGAGGCTCCAAGAGAACGGAGGTGTAGTGGAAGTGCAAGTCCAAGCTAAGAAAGTAAACAAATTGAGTGAGCATAAACCAATAACCTTTAAAGAGAATATCTTCAAGTGGATGCTTAACCACGGGCCTTCCCACTCCCAAGTGTAAGCTCCAAATCGTCCACCCCAACTTCATGAATTCTCTCACCCTCCCATGGCTTCACTTTGCCATTCTCAAATTTCTCGAATTCGAACTCAGAGCCTCGCCCCCTGTCCGATGCAGCACCCCAGCCCATTGCTCCATGTCTGTCAACTGAATCGTGGAGAGACTTTTGCTGGCTCACTGGTTTCATCAGATTAAATGTAGGGGAGGGAGGAGCAACAGAAGGTGCTACAGTTTGGAAACTGACCCAGCGGCCAGAGTCCACAGTAGAAGCATCAGACTCATCACATTCTGGAATTGTTGCTGGTGTAAGATGGCGGCATCTTGTAGGACTTGAAGGAGCAGAGACAGCGTAGAGGGGGTGGCGGAAAGAGGTCAAGTAGCTATTTGGAATGGACTCCCAGTCAGGTTTTCGCTTCGAACCCCTCGATGTCGGGGAAGAAAGAGGTGGCGTAACAGGTGCACTGTTTGATATTCTGAGAGGTGCGAGATTAGCAGGTATAGAGGTTATATTTTGAAGGAATGGCAAAAGATAAGATGGATTCCCATCAAATCGAGTTGGGCTCGGAAAAGAGGATGAAGAAGGGCTGGCATGGTAGGATGGTACAGGACTTGGGAAACATGAAGATTGTGGGCTTGGTTGAAGAGAAGAACAAGCGCTCATGTTAGCAGAAGTGCCAATATCAATCGGAGGAGGCTTGCATCCCTGTACAACGAATCAACAAAAAAGGTAAGAAACAAACACAAGACATCAAATAGATTGCTGAAATCATGCAATGATTATAACGCATTTCACTCTCAGACGAAATGGAGGAGCACAAAAAACTAGCGCGAATATCATCTTTTAGCAGTTTCAAACAAAATCCAATACGCTAAAACGGAAACGGCACAGGGGAGAAACCTAATTAAATCCCAATAAATTGGGGGAGAGATAAATAAACTGGTACTACGGACTACAGAAGCTCTCAGATTTAGACATATGAACAGCTTAAGAATTCCGGATCTAAAAGAGGAAACTACAACACTGCTTTCACATACAGTCTTCCGCACTTACTCATTTCATCGTAACAAAAGATTCTTAAATTCTCGAGTCCTCAAATATCCAGATCTAAGAAGACAAAACCAAATAACCAAAGATTGAACTCAAAGAGAACTGAAACAAACAAAAAACCTAATATAAACACAGATCAGGAGGAGAGACTATAATCACCACATCTCAAAACCGATTAAAAAAGTACTAAAAATCAAAAACCATGGATTAAAGGAAAGGAGTCGCAGAACCTTGCGATAGGTGGTGCCATCTTCTTCAACCACCCAACCAGCTTCACTACAAAGCGCCTTCAAGACCTCGTTGTTATCACAGTGCTTAGGAAGCTTATAGTTCCCCTGAGTTCTGAGACCAGTGTAGATCTTAGCAGCAATAGCCCTCCGCCGTCTCTCCCTCCTCTTATTGTTCTCCCTTTCCTTCCAAGTCGGCGTCCTTCCCGATGACGCTCTACCTGTCATGGCTTCTTCAGGCATAACAACAAATCCTGCCGCAACAGCTCCAAATTCTTCTTCAGTACCAGCAATCCAGCTCCGCCCTCGAACTTCTTCTAATTCTCTATCGCCTCCTACCGCTTATTCTCGATCAGAGAGCGAATTTTCGAGCGGCGAAGAGACAGAGAGAGAGAGAAACAGAGCGTGTGAAAAAAGTACTGCACCACACCACCAAGCAAACCTCACGAGAAGAGCGCGCTTTTTGTTGAACTTCTTCACAAGGAACCGCACTTTAGATTCTTCCTACTCGTGGGGGTAATTTGGGTATTACGATCAATCATTAGGGACATTTTAGTCATTTACACGACCAAAAATATTAATTTTGATTATTGAAAATTTTTAAGAATTTATCGCATTGGTGGGTCCCAGTAGAAACACTTGTCAAGGCACGTGGATCAGTTGGCTCTATATTATATTTTTTGTTCCAAGTTTTTTTCAACTTCGTGTAATTTATATTTTATTTAATCAATTGTAAAAACAAGAAAAAAAAAATTCAATTTAATTAAATTTTTTAAAGTAAACATTAACATATTTTATTATTGCTTTTTAATTTCAATTGTTTGTTCCAAAATTCATCCTTGTATTTTCGATGTTAAAATAAAAAGGTTTATACTAAAATCATGAATTTTTTTATTTAATTTCAACTTAGTATGCTCCTGTTATTATTTGTTTTAGTGTCTTATTTTAATGTCTATTATAATTTCAAACGCTAGTTAAAAATGTTTAAGATAATTGACATTAAATAGTAAAGTGGAAAAACTTTATATTAATTTCGATAATGCTAAATATATTTTTCATAATTAATATACCCATGTGTGCTACTAGGGACCCATATCATCCCATGTGTCGTTGGTCTTTATTATATTCGTAAAATATTTATTATTTATGATTAATATTTATAATCTGAATATAGCTAATTATGTGAATAATATTTATTTTTAGCTCAAGTATAAAATTTAAAAATTTATGTAGATAGTTTTGTAATTATTTTGATTAATTTATTAGTTTAAAAAATTGTAGTATTATAATAAAGATATATATTTATATAAAATATGAAAATTGATGGCTTATGGTGGAGGAGAAAGAAAATAATAAAATAATAGGGAAGAAGAAGAAGCGTGTAGGGGGAGGGATGGGGCACGTGCGGGTGGGAAGGCGACAGGGAGTTGTGAGGTCACAAGTCACAAGGGCTAGCCGCACGTGCAGCAGACAGACAGGCAAGCGTGCTTTTTCTGTCCGCTCGGGACCACCTTGCCGCGTCTTGTTTTCCATCTTTATATTATTATTTTATTTATTTTTCTAATCCTCCAGCTCATCTCCTTGGTCGACGTTAACCACGTGGGGGACCTTTGTTTACGTGGCCTTATCAAGATTCATTGCTCCACCACCAACAATAATTAAAAAACAATACATTGAATTCTCCTTACTATTTTTTTATTTTAAAAAATATATTATCATTTTTTAGCTTTATTTTATTTATTTAAATTTAACTCAAAGTCAAAATTTTCATTAGAAATAGATATAATACATCAGTGAATTATAAAAAGTTAATATGTCATGACACTTACTACATAAAATTAAAAATTTTAAAATTTATTAGATATTTTAAGATTCTAAATATGTATCAAAATAAATATTATATATATTAGTCATTACATTATAATTTTAAAATTTAATTTTTTAACTCGCTCAAGAATAAAGGTATGTACTATATTTAATTTATAACGAAATTCCATTCTTTACTCATTAACGAAAAAGAAAAACATTTCAACGAAAGACCCACGCCCAAGTTTTATAGCTTTGGGTCCGCTATCCCGATCATAACATTTCAACGAAAGACCCACGCCCAAGTTTTATAGCTTTGGGTCCGCTATCCCGATCATGATTTTCTTACTCCTAGAGGAAAACGTCCTTCCTTTTTTGGCTAGTTGTGGATGAGGAAGGATTCGAACCCTGACACCGTGGTTCGTAGCCACGTGCTCTAATCCTCTGGAGTTATAGACCCCACCCCGTCTCTACAAGATCTATTCAAGTATTACTCATTCATACATAAATAATAATAACAATCAATTAGCAATTTAACTGCAAAACTATCCCAAAGCATTTTAAATGGCTCTTACAAAAACCAATACAAAATAAATAATCCTACGCAGCAACGCCCGGCAGCCACATCCGGCAGTTACCAGAAGAAGAAATGATCTTTCCATTCACCAACACCTGCAAATGGTAGCAGCCCACACAACAATGGCAGAAAGACAAGCAGAAGGGCATAGAATACAGCACGGCGGATCCAGTATGGCAAGATTGTGTTGCCATTTTTCCCTTCAGAAACCTTGACCGGGCCATGTAGAATCCTAAACAGTGTAGAAGTGAAAATATTTGCAAATAAATGCAATATGCACAAGGTCTCCCAGTACATGAGCCAATGCAATCCGCTTCCTCCCAGTGTGTCTATGCACAACTTCCCAGCTAAACCGCAGGCAACACCAAGCAGCAAGGCAATGAAAGTAACTGGCATTGCCTGGTTTGAAGCCGACGAGCGTTGAAGAAGCAAGTAGGCAATTGCAAGAATCAAAATCACGCCAAACGCCATTCGACTCACAACTTGAACTTGACAACTTAACATATGCAGTCCATTATTAAAAGATGCCATAGGATTTGGTATCCACCAAGATTTTGATTCCTGTAAAGACCACATAATCTCAAATAAGTTCGTTGAATGAATGCTTTTGCTTTTAGTTCCAACAATATGTGATGAAAAAACTCATCAACAGTTGCATAACAAAGTATATGGTTTTTGAGTTGCAGATCTACCAGTGTCCTGTACAAGCCATAACAAAAAGAAGGGGCTAGACTTGCCTTGGTTGAAGGTGTACAGATAGCAGTAGCTTCAGAAATTTTTTGGTAGGAAAAAACGTATGCTCCGTACGAGATGGCCATCGACATTATAAGCAAACCAGCAACGAGGCAGTCTATGCACTTTCTAAGCAGCTCTGAGTGTCTTGTGTCTTCTAACTGATTCTTGAACTTCTCTTCCTTAAAACAGGCTTTTGATATACCCATTGCCAATTTTGATCTCTCAAGATTGTTTAAGTCGCAATTGAGGGCAATTTGTGTTTCTTTCAACCTTAATTTCCTCATTGCAAGGCCAAGCTCCACTGTCTTAAGATCATTGGAACGAGCCTGTTCGACAACGGATTTTTCAAACGTGCCAAGCGCTATCTCATTGCGATGGGAACCAACTGCCCTTGGGGCAACAGAAGTCACATCACTTTTCAGTTCACACAAAGCTAACTCATGAGTCAACGAATCAGAAATGCTTTCCTTTATCACTTCAACTGAACTTAATTGATCAATAGGGGCAATTGTTCTAGAAGACTCTTCCAGGCGACATTCTTCCAAACGAGAGCTCCTTGTCACGTCTCTTTTCCTATCGAGGGTCGAATCTACTTCGATTTTTTCTTCCTTGCGTTTGCTGGAGAAACACACTCCTGTTCTTGCAGATAATTCACTGATTGATCTAAGAGTTCTCAACGTGCTTTCAAATGATCTCTCAAATTTCTTCAAAAACCAATCAAGCTTGTCTCCAAAAACCTGTTTTCCATATAACCGGTCAAAGAACAGGCATGTGGAAGGAACTTCAGCATCTTGGACTGTGGGCAATGCTGAATAAATAACAGTGAACTGTAGTTAGAGATCGAACTTACATTGACCAAAGATTCCCGGATAGCCGAAGTGCAAATCTGCAGGTACAAGACAATCTTGAATCATATGGCTCCACTAATATAATTATTTTGAAGAAATATAAGTAAGATCTTAGGAAAAAAGCGAGAATGGAACGACTCGGTGGTAAAGTATCATCGATGGTAGACAGACTAGGGCCTGTGCAACATTTAAACCAAGGAAGTTGCACTTTACTTCAGCAGACCAGACCAACACCAGTGAACCTAGATTAATACCACACCTATGACAACATTACGTGAATTAAGAAGGAAAGCTGTTGAAAAAATATCCATAACAAATACTGCAATTTGAATAACAAGAGATTAGGATTCACTATCTTCTTATTTGAAATGATTCAAAAGAGTGAATACCAATCTCATTTCAACAACATAGCCAAGGTGAGCTTAGGTCATCAGTAATTGACATCTACCATCGATCAAGAAGTCAGAGATTCAAATCTTCCATCCACAAATATTTTTTAACTAAAAAAAATAAGGTTACGAAACATTTGGCAACTCACTTCTATACTATGGCAAGATTGTACATTGAGAGCCTGATTACTTCAGGCATTCATATTATAGAGAACGGTAGCATACCACTGAGAGATGACCAACAGACATCCTTTCACCAGACCTTTCCTGCATCTCGAGCACCTAAAATCAAAATTAAAAAGCGCCTAAAAGATCAACAAACTATTTATACTACCGGCAGCCCTCAGAAACACACAAACTCTTTGATCATCAAAGTTCTAAATATGTACAGAAAACTACATTCAAATCCAAAAAAACATATCATTTCAGCTCTGTTATCATCAAAGTTCTAAATATTTACAGAAAACTACATTCCAGTCCAAAAAAAAACATATCATTTCAGCTCTGTTATCATCAAAGTTCTAAATATTTACAGAAAACTACATTCCAATCCAAAAAAACATATCATTTCAGCTCTGTTATCATCAAAGTTCTAAATATTTACAGAAAACTACATTCCAATCCAAAAAAACATATCATTTCAGCTCTGTTATCATCAAAGTTCTAAATATTTAACCATATTAGTAAGGCATTGGATACGCTTTCCCACTTGATAACAAAGTTCATATTCAGAGACACATATCAAAGCAAAAACTCCCATATTAGTTTCAACTTTCCTCTTAGATCTTCTAACATTAATATGGATGATTAAATAGACAAGAAAAAAGTGTTGTTGTCTTCAGTTACTACTAAAAATTGTAGAAATTTCTCCTGTCGTTACTCCTAAAAATCTGATAAGAAATATGAACATTAGACAAGAAAATTTCAGAGTCTCTCTCAAAAATAGATCGTATGTATTAAATGTCAACATTCAAACCTTTTTCCCTGATAATTTGAAGGGAAAATAACCATAAATTATTCATCTAACATTGAATTGAGAAAATTTTGACCGTTTAGAATCATTTAAGCGAAAACAAAACCACCAAAATACAAAATTTACCCTAGCTAGATAAACCCCATTAAAAAGGCGAAAAAGACAGAACCTGAGCAACAAAAGCTGCGAAGGACATTCCCAGTAAAAGCGCCACATTTTCAAAGTCGTCATCGGCACGCCGCGATTGAGCAATTAGAATCTTGCGGCGTCGGCGTTTGCAATTCACACCTTTCTGCAACAATCTCACGGGCGAAGAACAAGAAGACGACGAAGAAGGAAGTTCTTGAACATTGTCAATAATAACCCTTTTCTTCTTCTTCTTCTTCTTCTTCCTTTTGCGATTTAAACACGGCGGATGATCGTAAAGAGTCCGGCCAGAGTTCTCCAGATACGAATCAACCGCCGTAGCTTCTTCGCGGTCGCTGTCAGTGGTTTCGTCAACGGAAGCGATGCAACTGGGTGCACAGATAGGGGCTTCGTCCATGGCCAAATGAAGAGCCGCCGTAACCATGGACTGGGGATTCTCGTTGATACCAAGCCAGCGGGGAGACGAACGTATGATTTGAGCGCTCTTTTTTTTCTTTTCCCTTTTTAAGCTTTTTTTTAAAATAAATGGTTCAAAACGGATTTCATTTCAAAATAATAATAACAATAAATTACAAGTTTAATTAAAATATTTAATAGAATTTTCAACTAAATTCTAACCAATTACGCTCCATTATTGAGTGTCTGGAAATTTCAAAATTTTTAAAATTAATATATTTATTAAATTTAAATTTTATTTTTATCCGGTGAAAGCTTAATAATATTTAAAAATAGGTTAAACTTTATGTCATATTTAACCTATTCAACATTTAAAATAATCAATAATATAAAGAAAAAATTAGAACCCTAAAGTCAATTTTATATAATAAAAATGTAAACTTTATTTATTTTTTTAGCCCACCTTAAGTACTATTTTAAAAATACATCGTTTACTCATTTTCGATTAATAAAATCATAAATTTTATATGTAGTACAATGTCAATGTTCAAATCAATAAGATCGTTCTCGTAGTCAATCATGACAAAAGATCGAGTTGATCTTTAAATATGTTGGTGTGTCTTGTCTGTTAAATTATATATAAATTAATATATAAGTTGACCAATTAAAATATTATCTATAATTTATAAGTTATGTTGCGTAAATGTGTGTAATATATATAGGAATCACATGTCAATTATTTAATTAAACGTTGAGATAATATAATTTTCATAGTTGATGTTCTTGAGTTTAAATTTTAATTCCACGTTAAAGATAATTTAAATATTGATCAATAATTTTGTATTATCGGTAGACTTAAATAAAATGTTGTAATTTATTTAAAACTAAATTTAATATATACACATTAAAAAAGATTAAAGGTCATAAATTAATTAAAAAAAAGATGTAAAACATTTATCGCGATATTGTTTATGAGCCGCATGATTATGTTATATGCTATTTAAGTCGTTGTGTTACTTTTTATTTTGCTAGCCTATATTATTGTCTCGATCATTGTTTTTAAACAATTTTTTCGAAGATCTCTTTTCTCGTATTTTATTTATTTTTCTTTCAAAAAAAAAGTTAGAAACTTGGATAAATGTAGTTCGGCCAACGGTGGCACGAACTTGAGTTGGATGATTCACTCATTATTTAGAGAGAATATCACACCGTCACTTATAAATGTCTTAAAAAGCATGACTGTGACATTTAGCCTAGATTTTATGCGCGTGCATTTCACGATGAAAAAGAGCGCGTGCAGTTAGTTCAGGCAAATAGAGAGCAGAGAAGAAAAACTCTACTGCCAACCTAACCACAGGATTATGACGGTCCACCGTAGACACGTCAGCCGAAAAGCGTCTAAATTTCCAAAATGCCAGTGAGGGTGGACGCCACACGGACTCTCGCATCCAATCAGAATCTCCAGCACTCATCTTCTTCATGCCACGTGGCATTCTAACCTCCACCCCTTCAATTTTCATTTCCCCATATATTTTCTCTAACTAAATTTTGTAAATTTTTCTGGTTCTCCGTTCGTTCTCTACCTTCTCCTTCTCTCTTCCACGTCTTCGCTCTTTCCGCCATTACCGTCTCCTTTGGTTCTCCCGCGCTTCAGAGCTAGGGTTCCAGCACATGATTCAGTGAGCTTCAATTTCCGCACATGATTCATGGCTACTACTTCATTGCCTTTACCGGAACTTGTATTCGTCTCGCCGAAGCGGCTTCTGTCTACTTCCAGTTCCAGATGTTCGCACTATAGGATTCCTCTCCCTAGAAGCTGTAGTTTTCGTGTTCTTTTTCGGACTAAGGTCAAGGCTGTTAGAGAAGACGGAGTGATTGTTGACAAGAGAGAGAGCGAGTTGATCAAGGAAGCTAATGGTTATGAACTTGGTGGCAATGGAGCTGCTTACAAGGAGAATGGCGATTACAGGTATAATGGCTGGGTTAATGGTGGAGTTACGGTTGTGGAGAGTGAGACTGATAGTAGTAATGGGAGCTTAATGAAGTATGTTAATGGAAATGGTGTTGCTGCGACGGTGGTGGGGGAAATTCAAGCTTCGGAGTCGACGGAGGAGGGGAGGAAGAAGAGGATAGAGGAGATTGGTAAAGAAGAGGCTTGGTTCAAGCGGAGTGAACAGCAACATACCGAGGTTTGATTATCGGTTGAGTTCAAGTTTCGTATTTCTTTGCTCAGTTTCTGCTTGTTTCTTGTTATTATTATTTGATTCCATTGACGATGGGATTCTACGTAATTTGGAGGTTTTTATTTTCAATCGTCATGTAGCTATTATATGTGCGCTTGCAATTTCTGATTACTAGAACAGCTTATTTGGGAGGTCTCAAGTTCTAGATCAGAGATTCATTTGGGTGTAGCGGTGGATTTAGATGATACTTAACTAGAAGATAATGATTTCCTCCATCTCCCTTTTAATCTGATAATCCATGTTTTGGGCGTGGTAAATCAAAATTACTATCGAAACCCACAAATAAGGGGTGGCATTGAGTGAATAGGATTAGTCGAAAACTTTTGGGTCAAATTGTGATTTAGTAAGCCTTAAAAGTTCATAGTACCTTCTATTACCTGGTCTATTTAGCAGTGTGTAACTGTCAAATGCAATCTTAAATTCTGGACTAAAAAACTTGGAGTAAGCGTTATGGTCTTAAAATAAGATTGCACCAATCCTGGTAATAAACACGTCCTTGTGATATAATTTGCAAATCTGAGTTCTTCTTGATGAAAAGCTGCTACTTTTGGGATGTGTTTTCTCATTATGAAATTAAACCTGGTAGTGTAGGTATGAAGCATCAACAATCCTTGCACTTTCCTCCATATTTTCGATCATTTTAATCTCTCCTTTTCAGGTTGTTTTTGATTCCATATTCGGTCATTCTTCAGGTTTCTGTGGCACCTGGTGGACGCTGGAATAGATTTAAAACATATTCAACAATTCAGAGAACCTTGGAGATATGGGGATTTGTTTTTACTTTTATCATTAAGGCTTGGCTTAACAGTCAGAAATTTACTTATCGAGGTGAGCCCTTCTGCAACATCAATGCCAAACATGATACACAAATTTTCTCTTTGGATTTCATAATGCTATTGGATGATAGGAGTTCTCACCTTATTTCATGGTCTTTTATTTGCTTTTAGGAGGAATGACAGAGGAGAAGCAGGTTTCCAGAAGAAAGATCCTTGCCAAATGGTTGAAAGAAAGCATTCTAAGATTAGGTCCAACGTTTATTAAAATTGGACAGCAGTTTTCCACAAGAGTGGACATTCTACCACAAGAATATGTTGACCAGTTATCAGAACTTCAGGTTAAAATTCACTTATCTATGCTTGCACCAGCACCAGTCTGTGCGTAGGCCTGTTGCATATAAAATATATATGTTTTCAGTTGGAATCATGACATATTTCAACCTATCTTGCTTAGGCTGATGGATTCTCATTTTCAATTTAGGATCAAGTTCCTCCGTTCCCATCTGAGACAGCAATATCAATAGTTGAAGAAGAGCTTGGAGGTCCTTTGGACAATATATTTGATTGGTTTGATCGTGAACCAATAGCAGCTGCTAGTCTTGGTAAACTTGATTCACATTTTCTGTGGCTTACCATGATATATGTTGGGAAATTCTGTTGAGCTAAAGCATTTTGAAATTCTCTGTTTCATGGCTGATTAGAAAACTTAACATCAAAAGCGTCTTTGTTCAGGTCAGGTTCATCGTGCAAGATTGAAGGGGCAGGAGGTTGTGGTGAAAGTCCAAAGGCCAAGTCTAAAGGAACTCTTTGACATTGACCTTAAGAACCTAAGGGTTAGTTTAAACATTGACTGAATTTCCTATTTCTGTTTTTGTGTGTGCTCAGAAATCAGAATTGTAGTGATCTCACTGCATTTATTTTATTCACGTCTGTGTGTCCTCTCTAGTTAGATGCATGGCCTCAGATACATTTTTTCTGGCGAAACTAATTTTCTTGTATCTTCTATTTTTCCTTAATAAATTGTGGTAAATATATTAATTGGTTTGTCATTAAGCTATGTCAATGCTTTTTTAAAATGCAAAGGTTCCTAGGGGTATCAAAATTTAATGGTGGAATTTATTTTTCAGTTTTTTTAATTGGCAAATTGTTGTAAAAGTATTACAGTGATATTAATAAGTTGCTAAGAATACAAATAAAAATCAAGAAAGGAAATGATCGATATACATTTGTTGACAAAATAAATGGTGTACAATGAGCCAAAGAGGAGGGAGAGAAGAAGAGGGAAGAAAAAAAAAAAGAAAAGGAGAAAGACGAGAATGAAACTTTCGCGTGAGAAAATGAAGAAATGAGTATTGAACTATTAAGCAAAGTTATGGATCTCTTTAAGTTCTGCTAAGCGCATGCCTGCAACATTTAAAACACTGAACTCCTGTTTGTCACGTCCAAGATCAAATTTTCTAAGACTATTGAATTTGTATAGTGGAAAGGAATGACCGTTATGCATCAAAACCTTTGATATTTCTTTTGCAGGTCATAGCAGAATACCTTCAAAAATTTGATCCGAAGTCAGATGGTGCAAAGAGAGATTGGGTTGCTATATATGATGAGTGTGCTAACGTCCTGTATCAGGTATCAGCATTCGCTCAACTAATAAATTTTAGACACAACTACTGATATGTTAGAATATAAAATCTTATTATTAAACTGCATACTTTTTCTGATTCAGAAGTATTCAATCTTTTACTTATTTTTCTCAAATTCTATGCCTGTGTATAAATTCTCATTATTCCTAATATGATGTAAATTTCAGGAAATAGATTACACCAAGGAAGCAGCTAATGCCGAGCAGTTTGCAAACAACTTTAAAAACTTGAACTACGTGAAAGTCCCATCAATATTCTGGGACTATACTACTCCACAGGTGTTATCAATTAGTTTGTACAATTAAACAATTATTGCGTTTAGCACATTGTTCTTACTTCTATTGTTTATCATTTTGAAACGACTTCAGGTTCTGACTATGGAGTACGTCCCTGGAATAAAAATAAATAAGATTAAAGCTCTGGATCAACTAGGCATTGA